GGAATCATGGCAGTTGAAGATAATCTCTCTGTCGTCATAGGGGGTTGGGTAACCGAATGTTACCCACGAGGTTGGAAAGGCGATCATACTCCTTGTCACGTACAACCGGGGAATGAAAACCACGCCAGTTGGCTCAATGACAGACCTTATGATGCAACGCGCACGCGCTAACCATTCGGCCATCCACCCCCTCCTTTATAAAGATTCAACTTTCACTATATAATAGTTTGCAATTTAAAATCTCGCCCGTGACGATCATGGGCGTTAAGTTTGAATTTGGGGTTTAACGTCCACTAGATCCACCCTTGATAATGCAAATCTGAATTGCAATGTAATAGGCTTTAACGTCCTACTTTTTCGCACAGACCGGGTATGTGCAGACGGACAGATGAGGTCAATTTTTCCCGAGCTACGGCGCTACTCTTATATCAACCGTCTATTTGAGGGCCTGACAAGGACAGCTGTCTAGTCGTTTGGGTGGGACGAAAAACCGAGGCCCGTGTGCACACATTGGCGTGCACGTAAAAGATCCATTGACAGTTGGAATTCGATATAAGAGTAGGCCGTATGCCCGTCTTCATTAGCCCAGTATAGGAGCAGAACAGTAGGACGTTAAACCCCATTTCATTTCATTTCCGCTGTCCGGGCAAAATGTCCCAGTTCAGAACAAAACAGTAGGACGTTAAACCCCATTTCATTTCATTGCATACATGGAACCTCACTAGTCGCGTCCCCCCTTAGTCCTGACGAACTTTCGCCATCAACAGAGAACTCTAAAGAGAGCTCCTGACGTATGGAAGACCAAACAGCTCTTTATTCAGTGTTCTCAGTTCTTAATTCATAGTCCTTAATTCGTATGTCTTCATTATGTTGTCTTATTTCGACATTTGTACACTTAAATTAACATTTGTATCTTAAAATCAATATTTGTTTTACAAATCAGACATTTGTCATATCAGAACACTGAATAAAGACTCCATACTGACGAGTCTTCTCCTCTAGAGGAAAGGTAAGTAAACACTTACATGTAACGGCAGTCCCAGGGGCCGGTGTTGTTGAAATGGTTAATCCTGAAAATAAAAACAACCAAAATATATTTAATGAATACAGAATGATACGCTATGTATACAATGTTTATGTATAATTTATGAGTTTACCAAACAAAACATATTCTCGTGGGGCGTTTTCAGTAACCAATTAGTTGAACTCAAAGCGGAACATTCAATAGTGTTTAATTAAATATTAATAGGCTTGCTTTGACGTCATATCAACACAATATTGAGTAGTCATAAAGAAAAGATTATGCTCTCTGTCGGACCTTTAAAACGATACAACACGCCTGGCACAACCTTTTGTTTATTAGTTGAAGTTTGTTGTTTAATGTTTGTTATGAATCGTGGGGATGGGGACGAACCCAAAGGACCGCCCTGGCGGCTGACAAAACAAAACTTCGTACCTTTGTTTGTTCGACATTATTTCGATAAATGACGGACAAAAGAAAATATGCTTTGCGAGAACTGGGAACATCCAAATCCAAACTCGGGGACCCCCTGTACCCCCAACTCCCTTCATATAATATTGTGAGTTAGAAACCAACCTTTTTGTAATTGATAAAGTTGTGAGCTAGAAACCCACCTTTTTGTAACTGACAGATAAAGTTGTGAGCCAGGTAACAATTATCATCATACCAACTATTACTATCAACATCATACTGTACACAATCTTCTTGATGATTCCAGTCATTCGGTTCCTTCTCGGCCCAATTAGCATAATCAAATGGTGTACCATCTGTCCAACCATGGCCTGTAACAAACCAGAATAAAATGATCTTAACCCTTTACTTTTCACAAGAGACAGAGAGAGAGAGAGAGAGAGAGAGAGAGAGTTGGGGTTTAACGTCCACTCGAGACAAACTAGGTCATTTCGGGACTAATATATGTTTTTTTAATTTATTTCAATAATTCGCTTGAAGTGGGAGGATCCGGAGAAAACCCACGAGGTTGGACAGGCGACCCTACTCCTGTCACGTACAACCGGGGATTCGAAACCACGCCAGTTGACTCAATGACAGGCCTTATGATACAGCACGCACGTGCTAACCATTCGGCCATCCAATCCCCCAAGCACTAACAAACCTCTGCTTGCCAATGAGAGCGTCAAAGTATTCCAATAAAGTTTATCCAATAGTTATCAAATATCGACTGGTAAAAAAAGAGGACTCTTACTTTTCTCAGTATCTCGATCGTTGAGTCCGATCCAGAAAACGCCTGTCTGATTACTGAAAATAGTGAAAAAGATTGATTGTGTATCTATATGAACTACTTCTGGCTCAATCTGTTTCGCAGGGGTAATGCTAAAGTCTAAAGGTCTTACTTAGAACAGTGAAATGAAATGAAATGAAATGGGGTTTAACGTCCTACTGTTTTGCTCCTAAACTGGGCTAATGAAGACGGGCATACGCCATACAGTGTGCTATGAGGGGAATTTTGCCCGGGCAGCGGCGCTACGGCCTACTCTTATATCGAATTCCAACTGCCACGGGATCTTTTACGTGCACGCCAATTTGTACACGGGACCTCGGTTTTTCGTCCCATCCGAACGACTAGACAGCTGTCCTTGTCAGCCCTCCGTCCTGCATCACTGACAAGGGGAAACCACGCCGTAAAATCTGGATGAACATTCTCGGCCAATTCAGGGATCGAACACCCGACCTCCAGGCTGGGAGTCAGCGTCTTACCCACTTTGCCACGTGACCCCCCCCCCTCTTAGAACAGTGTCTACTTCAGTGTAGACATTGGCGTGCAGGTAAAAGAAACCGCTGTGAATTGGAATGTAACCAAGAGTAAGCGGAAGTGCCACTGCGCGTCTTCATACCACCGAGGGCCGAGCTTCGCACTCCCAAGTAGGGGCAGCACGCCCCCCCCCCTTCTGAAAATCCTGGATCCACCCCTGCTTCGTGCTACTAGTATTCAAAGATTTGGGTAGTTTACACCGTAAATATGTAAACTCAGTCGGATTAAAACACAGATCCAATTTCGTTTCGTTTTTTATAGTTTCGTTATATTGGTCTGTACTACACAAGGTTCTGGATGGCGTGATGGATTAGCCAATGAAACCATCTGTTACGGCGACTTCTTGACGTGCCATGCACGGAACTGTTTGTAAACCACTAGAAAAGTCAACACTGATTAATCAATGTCTGACGTCATAGGGTCAAAAGCCGTTCGTACGCCCCCTGACGCGACCTTTCACTACAACCGGTGAGATCTTCATGTAGTGTAGGCCATCGAAAGTATAAAAAACGAAACGAAATATAGATGTGTATTGTAATCAGATAGATGTAACCTTACCTTAGAATTGTTTTAGAGAAGAAGTCTTCAAGTGAAGCATTGTGTATGGAAACCAGATCACCACCAACGGATGTGCAGGTATCACGAGCTTCGGTAAATGTTTTCTGGTTCGATTTGTCTGATATGTAAGCCTAGCAATAAACACATTATAGTAGACTTACATTATTTATATAAGTCTAGCAATAAACATATTATTAGACTTACATTATTTATATAAGCCTAGCAATAAACATAGTAGTTAGACTTAAATTATTTATATAGGCCTAGCAATAAAAACTGTAGTTAGACTTAAACTATTTATATAGGCCTAGCAATAAACACAGTAGTTATAGACTTACATTATTTATATAGGCCTAGCAATAAACACAGTAGTTATAGACTTACATTATTTATATAAGCCTAACAATAATGTATCATTTCTATATATAGATCTTCCAATTAACAACATTACTATAAATAGATCTACCAATTAACAACATTACTATAAATAGATCTACCAATTAACAACATTACTATAAATAGATCTACCAATTAACAACATTACTATAAATAGATCTACCAATTAACAACATTACTATAAATAGATCTACCAATTATGAACATTACTATAAATAGATCTACCAATTAACAACATTACTATAAATAGATCTACCAATTAACAACATTACTATAAATAGATCTTCCAATTAACAACATTACTATAAATAGATCTACCAATTAACAACATTACTATAAATAGATCTACCAATTAACAACATTACTATAAATAGATCTACCAATTAACAACATTACTATATATAGATCTACCAATTAACAACATTACTATAAATAGATCTACCAATTATGAACATTACTATAAATAGATCTACCAATTAACAACATTAATATAAGACCAGCAATAAACTTTATCAAACCGGAAAAAAAACATTACTTTTATAGACACTTTTACAGGATACATTACTTTTAATTTATACGTTCATAAAATATAAATGTTAAAATAATATAACGACTGTTTCATATAAACATCCTGTAAATGAATAAATAAATGAAATGAAATGGGGTTTAAGGTCCTAATGTTCTGCTCCTAAACTGGGCTAATGAAGACGGGCATACGCCATACAGTGTGCTATGAGGGAATTTTTGCCCGGACACCGGCACTACGGCCTACTCTTATATCGAATTCCATCTGCCAAGGGATCTTTTACGTGCACGCCAATGTGTACACGGGACCTCGGTTTTTATCCCATACAAACGACTAGACAGCTGTCCTTGTCAGGCCCTCCGCCATGCATCACTGACAAGGGGGAACCACGCCGGAAAATCTGGATGAACTTTCTCGACCAATGCAGGGATTGAACACCCGACCTCCAGGCTAGCAGGTCAGCGTCTTACCCACTTAGCCACCGTGATCCCCTGTTTGATATAACATATACGTGTTAATTATACTGCAGGTTTAGAGCTTAGATATAAAAACAAGACCTACTTTATAACATATACCACGATAGCCTGTCCAACCAGTAGGACAAGGGAGATTACTCTGTGTTGTAACGGTGATAGGAGGATTTGTAAAACCAGCACGCGGATAATCACAGATAAAACCATGATTCTCTGTACAATTTGCATTCGACCATAACCCAACAGGTCGTAGAGCGCTCATTACTGTACACGTCTTTTGTTCATTGCCTACAATAATAATTCAATTAAAAATAAAAAAAAGGAGAGAGAAGAGAGAGAGAGAGAGAGAGAGAGAGAGAGAGAGAGAGGTAACGTTCACTCGACACAAACCAGGTCATCTCGGGACTAACACACAGTTCAGTTTTATTTCAATAATTCGCTTCCTCGTAGGGGTCTTTAGCAGTGGAGGGCGGGGGGACCGTAGGACCCGGAGAAAACCCACGAGGTTGGACAGGAGACTCTATATCGTGTCACGTACAACCGGGGAATCGAAACCACACCAGTTGACTCAATGACTGCAGACCTTATGATAAAGCGCGCACATGCTAACCATTCGGTCGTCTGGTGCCATAAAATGTGCTACTATGAGTGAAATTTTGTACGGATCGCGGCAGTACGATCTGATCTTATTTCAAATTTCGGCACCGACTGGGCTAATTAATTCCAACTCTCAAGGTTTGTTTTACTTGCACGCCAATGTGTACACGGGACTTCGGGTTTTTACATCCCATCCCAAAAACTAGACACTGTCCCTTGCCAGACTTGAAAAGTTAAAACGTTGTCGTTACCTGTATGTGTTTCACCCCATGACGTAAAACTGACAGGTTGGCTACTGGACCATTTATAAACACCCGGAGATCGGTAGTCATTTAAACCTATCCAATAATGATCACCCTGTAGTGTAATTTCAGCAGCTAAATACGCCTGGACATGGCTATTAAAAAAACAAATAATAGAGAGATATAGTGTTAACCCTGACTGACTGGCGATATCACAGACAATAGAGAGAGAGAGAGAGGGGGGTAACGTCCACTCGACACAAACTAGGTCATTTCGGGACTAACATATGGTTCTGTTTTATTTCAATAATTGGCTTAAGCGTAGGGGTCTTTAGCAGTGGGAGGAAACCGGAGAACCCGGAGAAAACCCACGAGGTTGGATAGGCGACCATAATCCTTGTCATGTACAACTGGGGATTCGAAACCACGCCAGTTGACTCAATGACAGATCGTAATTTGGAGACGATGTTGGAATTATGTATTGTCCACTGTCAAATTTCCATAACAGAAACCTGGCAAACCCTCTCCTCTAAACATTCCTGGGTCCGCCCCTGTTTGACGATGATGTGTGTAACGGCCACTCATCAGTAGTTAAATATTTATTCAATAATTCGTTTGCGCACTGGGTTCTTAAACAGATGCCGGACAACCCAAATGATATACCGCGCACCTGCTATACTATTACCGTTTGTTTTCTCTATGTCTTTATTACACAGTTTTCCTTCATTTTCTAAACAATACTTACTTATCATATACAGTTGCTAGGTGACCTTTCTTAGATCGACAAAATCGCTCGGCCCTGTACCAACTGCTAGGTTTACTGACAAATAAATAACAAGAGCCGCGATATCCAAGACTACCAGGAAACTGAAACAGAGTTTTCCAGGCGTTAATTCATAATCGGTAACAAGAACTAATCTGGGCCGGGTGTAGAAATGGCAACAGGTGAATTGTGTGTGGGCCTATTTCTCTACGTCTTAATTAAACAAACGGCTAACCCAAGAGATGAAGGGATGAATGGGTTGTGTGAAGCGTTTATAGCTGATTGACCCATCGATAAACACACGGCTAACCCAAGAGATGAAGGGATGAATGGGTTGTGTGAAGCGTTTATAGTTGAATGACCCATCGATAAACACACGGCTAACCCAAGAGATGAAGGGATGAATGGGTTGTGTGAAGCGTTTATAGTTGAATGACCCATCGATAAACACACGGCTAACCCAAGAGATGAAGGGATGAATGTCGTGTGTGATCGCGTTTATAGTTGAATGACCCATCGATAAACACACGGCTTACCCAAGAGGTAAAGGGATGAATGTCGTGTGTGATCGCGTTTATAGCTGATTGACCCATCGATAAACACACGGCTAATCCAAGAGATGAAGAGATGAATGGTCCCAACGATAAACTCACGGCTAACTCTAAAGGTGAAGTCTAATGTCGCCTGTTCGATCCCTACTTTGGATTTTCAGACGTGGTTTCCCCTTTTCAGTGGTGCGGGGCGGAGGGCCTGACAAGGACAGATATCTAGTCATTCGGATGGGACGAAAAACCGAGGTCCCGTGTATACACTGGCGTGCACGTAAGAAAATCCCTTGGCAGTTGGAACTCGATATAAGAGTAAGCCATAGTGCAAATTTTCCCTCATAGCACACTGTATGGCGTATGTCCGTCTGCATTATCCCAGTCGGGGCAGAACAGTAGGACGTCAAACCCCACGTAACGGGTGGATAGCCAAACAGAAAGATAGTGGCGACAACATTAACATGTGGACGTGTGTTTTCATTTGTTACGTCATTATATAACGTTACTCAAAGGGGTTTATCAAATTAGCTCCCTTAGAAAATAAGCTTAATTAAAACAAGAAAGAGTAGAAAAACAAATTACCTTTTCACATCCTTTGTTAGCTACCTGTTTCGACACCACTGATTTTGGTTTTCTACATATAGACGGTCGGGTATCTTCACATTTTAAATCTACCCAGCCGCCATTCTGTAAAGATAGATATCAGAGGTGCTAAGAAAGAAAATGTGTTATGTTTGCAAAGATACCTGTAATAATAATAATAATCCGAACATCTATAATGCTCGTAACGTAATTCTGCTACTATACTGAGCTAATGATGTTTCTAGTGGGTTACCCACAGTGCCATGCACCTCACGCCAAAAACTCGCCGTAACAAACCATTTCATTGCCTTATCCCTCACATCATCCAGAACGGGGTTATATAACAACACTTCCAGATCCTGGAGTATTAAAGACAGGTAAAAGAGAGAGAGAGAAATTGGGTTTAACGTCCACTCGACACAAACTAGGTCATTTCGGGACTAACATATGGTTTTAATTTTATTTCAATAATTTGCTTGCGCATAGGGGTCTTTAGCAGTGGGAGGAAACCGGAGGACCTGGAGAAAACCCACGAGGTTGGACAGGCGACCCTACTCCTTGTCACGTACAACCGGGGATTCGAAACCACGCCAGTCGACTCAATGACAGACTTTATGATACAGCGCGCGCACGCTAACCATTCAGCCATCCAACCCCCCGACAGGTAAAAGGAAATTTTGAACTATAAAAAAACAAATGAAATAGGATCTGTGTTTTTTTCAGATTGGGTGTTGCATACATATAAAGTTTCTGTCTCTTTGGCATCACCATAAAAAGCCCCACTTTTCTACGCCCCGGAAGCCTGTTTTTGTTTCTCTACCGTATTATTCTTTGGAACAAATGTCCAATTTACTACCTTTTAATGTACTCTTACTTTCACCGATTAAAAATAACTGCCATATTAGGAAACGACATGCATATAAGCATTTCGCTTGTTGTATCCTTTCGACTGCATATACTTCGATGATATTTGTAATTATAATGGCTGAATGGTTAGCGTGTGCACGCTGTATCATAAAGTCTGTCATTGAGTCAACTGGCGTGGTTTCGAATCCCCGGTTGTACGTGGCCAGGAGTAGGGTCGCCTGTCCAAACTCGTGGGTTTTCTCCGGGTCCTCCGATTTCCTCCCACTGCTAAAGACCCCTACGCGCAAGCGAATTATTGAAATAAAATTGAACCATATGTTAGTCCCGAAATGACCTAGTTTGTGTCGAGTGGACGTTAAACTCCATCTCTCTCTCTCTCTCTCTCTCTCTCTCTCTCTCTCTTCTCTCTCTCTCCCCCTCTCTCTCTCTCTGTAATTATAATGAATAAAATATTATTTAGACTCAATAGAATAAATGAACATACTGAGGACACTAAACCAACACAGTCTTGGTCACCTCCCAGATTATTAGGATCACCACTTGCCCAGTTGGTATAGGTTACTGGATTACTATCAGTCCATTCAAAATCACTCTCTGATCTTACGTCATTTAAACCAATCCACGCCATAATATTCTTTTCTATAATATAAAACAATAGTCTGGTGAAATTATCCTATTTGATTGAGTTATTGTTACAGGGACTAACTTGGCATACAACTCTATTGGTTCAGACAGAGACAGAGATAGGGTTATTGTCCACTCGATCACCCAACTCCCCCTAGTTTATAATTAAACCTGTTCGTCTTCTGGGTATATAATATAAGAGATAAAATGAATGTCAGTAGATCAGTTATAATGGTATACTAACCCTTTCATTAGATCAAAGTATGAACATGCGATTTGATTTAGAATAAAGAGAAAGAGAGAGAGAGAGAGAGAGAGATAGAGAGAAAGAGAGAGAGAGCGGGGGGGGGGTAAGTCCACTCCACACAAACTAGGTCATTTCGGGACTAACATATGATTCAATTTTATTCCAATAATTCGCTTGTGCGTAGGGGTATTTAGCAGTGGGAGGAAACCGGAGGACCCGGGGAATATCCACGAGGTTGAAAGCCATCCCTACTCCTTGTCACGTACAACCGGGAAATCGAAATCATGCCATTTGGCTCTATGACAGAGCGTATGATACAACGCACGCGCTAACTCGATCATTCGCCCCCCCCCCCCTTTTAAAACTCTTTACACTAGATCAATTCGGGACTAACATACGGTATATATATTTGTTGCAATTTATCTTGGGCAACAGGTTAGGCAGGCGAGCGTACATGCAGAGTATAGAAATGAATTGAAATGACGGAAATTGAGTTACTGACAGGGCTAATGAAGACAGGCATACGAAGCTATGAAACAAATTTTGCCTAGCCAGCGGCGCTACGACCCACTCTTAAATCGAATTCCAACTGTCAGGGGTTCTTTTACGTGCACGGCGATGTATACATGGGACCTAGGGTTATCGTCCCATTCAAACGACTATTCGATGTCCATTGACAGGTCATCCGCCCTGCATCACTAACATGGAGGAACCACGTAGGAAAAGTTATGATGAACTTCCCCAGGAATAGAAACCATGAATCCTGCGGAATTTTCCCGGAAATAGAAACCAAGACACGTGACCTAATGTTCAAATGAAATGAAATGAAATGGGGTTTAACGTCCTACTGTTTGCTCCTATACTGGGCTAATGAAGACGGGCATACGCCATACAGTGTGCTATGAGGGAAAATTTGCCCGGGCAGCGGCACTATCGCCTACTGCATCACTGACAAGGGGAAACCACGCCGGAAAATCTGGATGAACTTTCTCGGCCAATGCAGGGATCGAACACCTGACCTCTCCAGACTAGCGAGGCAGCGTCTTACCCACTTAGCCACGTGATCCCCACCTAATGTTCAGAGTTAGATCACTCGTTCACACAAAACCGCAATAACATATTATAATAATCTTACTGCTGGGTATTAGAGACTGTATGTATTTATTTTCCGATCGTCCAGGTATGCTGGCTAATTCAGCTGATTGTACTCGACAGTTAGAGAGAGCGTCTGGTTGTGAGAGTAAGTCTGGTATATATAAATAACACGATCCTTTATATCCCTTCCATAGATCAGGACAACCCCACTGCATTCCACCTGGTAAATTAAAAAAAAAAACCTCTTAAAGCGATAATTTCATATTTTTTAAGTTATATTTTTAAAATGTATTAAAATAAAGCTTTAAAATACATGGTATCTATAAACAGTCCTACCTTGTTAAAGAATAATCCTATAATTCACTATTGCCAGTTGAGAAATTGGCAAAAATATCATTTTCAACTTCAAATTCAAACGTTTGAAGATAGCTATTCCATGGGGGGGGGGGGGGGAGGAGATAGAAAAACAAGGGAGGTAATTGTGTTATTATTTCCAGGGTGAATGATTTTTAAGTGTGAGAATGATACCTAAAATCGTATAATAGTGAGTTGACAACCTATTGAGCAAAAGACATAGAAATAATGATGTTTTGACTTTCTTAGAAAATATTAAATTCTAGCTTTAAAGGCTCAATACCACCCTTGTTGTAACTGAATAATATGTCCCAATCTTTATTCTGGTCAACAAATTGTACTATTTTACAATATTCCAATTAATTGACGATACAAATTTCATCTTAACACACCTAATTTAAAAAATTTGAAAAATTCAACTAAATGATTTGAAAAGCCTGAGGTAAACCTTTTCAAATGTGACTTGGATTTAAAAATATTTTTGGACAAGTAAAATATGATTTAATGGATAATTTACACAACAGGTAAGACACTAACACATCTAGTACTTAGAATAAGGCTATTTTTTATTTTCTGGAGCTGTCAAGCCAGCAAGAGTGTTATTGTCCCTTTAAAGGCGGTTAGTGCTAATAATAAGGCCAGCTCAATTTTTCGTCATAGGTCAGGGAATGTAAACATGGCTACCGCTAATCCCAATCCTAACCCTAACCTTGGACCTAGCCCCAATGCTTACCCTAACACTAACCTACAATCACGTGCCCTCACCGTATTCACATCT